TAATAGAATCTGTTGAAATCACAAAGTAGACAATGTTCCGACTGCTCAAAAACTTAAAGTCTGGAAGTCTCCCATCCCGGACAGACTACACCATAGAATTTTGATGCTTTTGGCCAATACTGTCGATGCAATTTTAGCTGTGTAATTCAGCATATCCTTGTTTCTGACACAGTTTTCTAAAGACTGGAAGGACGCTATAAGTCCTGTGTTTAAGGGAGGTGATTGACAACTGGTTACCAACTACCGACCTGTTATTTCCACTGGTACCGTGGTTAACATAATGGAGAAGATAATACGTGGTGAGATACTCAATCACTTATAACCACATAACCTATAAAAGCAGGAGCAACATGACTTCTGGGCTTGACGCTGTTGTTTGGAAAACCCACTCCTGACAAGGGAGGACTAGAGTGAGGCTAGAGACAACAAACGTCTTGTGAACTTGGCGTTTGCTGACTTTAGGAAGTTTTTTGACAAAGGGCTATTCAAAAAACTTCCCATATTCGGTGTTGACATTGTAATTCACCCTTGAATTAGAGACTACTTACACGAAAGAATGCAAAGATTAAAAGTCAGTGGGATATTATATGAGTGGCGACCTGTCTTCCCTGGGGAATATACTTGAGCCTCTCCCCTTCGTTCTTTACTTTGATGAAATATAAAAAATACTTGGGTCATCATCATTGCTATATTCTGATGACATCAAGTTACAGATAACCATCCATAGTAATGAAGATACGTCCATGCTCTTAGTTGATAGTGAAGAACTGGTTGAATGATTTAAATGATTGAGCCTGGAAATCAATTCCAAGAAAAATGTGGTAATGTCCATTTGATATAACTTGTCTGATGGCTACTCAACGAATGGTTGTTAACTAATACCTCGGGTTCGCGAACAAGATGATCTAGGCACTATAGGAAATATTTTAATATAATTGTAGCCTGTTTATACTAAAATATTTTCCTATAATGATTAAATTTGACTGGGTGCCCACCTTCAGGGAGAATCGCAACAACTATGGTCCAGAAGTTTATGAGTCTAGGGGTTATCTTAAGGCATGACGTAAACACTTCTAATATAAGTGCTTCTGCAGACACAACGTTTTGTATGCTTTGCTCGCTTCGTCGCACACTCGAATGATTTGGGGAAACTATGTTTACGCGCCCATACTCCACTCATGCGAACCTCATTTGTAGTACTGTATCCAGGTGGTTAACTAGTTCACTAGTTACTAGCCGGTCCTAAACCCGGGTAAAGAGAGAAGGTTGGGCGTAGAGCTAGCAACCCTACCCCGGAAAACCAATCCAACAGCTAAAAAAACTCCAAAGCACAAAGAAGTGATAACAAATGAAAACAAACTAATTCCTCGCTGGAATCGAAGGAACAAAACGACACCGGTTGGTGAAAGCCTTCCGGAAGCCAGTCGGCCGATGTATCTTCTCGCGACGAAAGCGAAAGTACGGATGGGGACATGGAATGTCCGCAGCATGTATGAATCTAGCAAGGCTGCCCAGATTGCAAAAGAGATGAGAAACTATGTCATAGAAGTGCTATGCTGGGAATCTGCGAAAGCAGATGGAATGGAAGTGGACTCTACAACCTGTCAACTGGGGAGTCAATATTCTACTCAGATATTGTCACCCAGACGACAACCACGAGCACACTGTGTTTTTGAGTGGTTATCATGATGTCCTCAACAGCATGGAAGGCTCTCATGCAGTGGGAACCAATCTCCTCCTGCAGGATCATGACAGCATGATTCAACACAAAAAGAAGGAAAGTCACAATCATACAATGCTATGCACCTACAAAAATGCAGATCAAGCGAAGGAGAAATTCTAAAGACAACTGCAATCAGTAATGGACAAGACCCCAACCAAGTTAGTGACATCAAAATTCTAATGTGTGGGGTGACATGAATGCCAAACTGGGAGCGGACAACACACGAAAAGGACTCATCATGGGTCGAGAAGCGCTCAGTGAAATGAACGATAATGGAGAACTGTTTGAAAACTACTGGGCATTCAACTATTTGGTCATTGGAGGCAGTGTGCACAAACACAAGGATATTCGCAAAGCGACATGGATTTTACCAGACACCAGGACACACTAAAATTCAGATCGACTTCGTTTCAATGTGAAGGAAGTGGAGACGCAGCTTACTGGACACAAGATCAAGAAGGGGAGCAGATGTAGGTTCACATCACTCACCATCTAGTGCAAGGAACCTTCCAAATCAAGTTGAAAGCTTTCAAAGAAGTTGGTTCAAGTTCAACACCCAGAACAGAAACTGAAGGACGAACTTGCAAAGGACATCTTAACGTAATTCAGCCATCAGAACAAAATTGGAGATATCGAGCAACATCCTTGAAGGAACCTGCTTGGAAGAACACTGAAACTCTGTGAAAGAGATGGGGAAAGAAACCTACATAACCCCATTAGGGAGGAAGAAAAGACAGGACAAGGAATTGATCTCAAAGGACACATGGAAACTGATAGAGGAGAGAGAGAAAGATGGTGAAGCAGAAGACAAACCAGTGCAGTGCAAGGATGAACAACAAAAAGAAGAACTGAACGCAACCTATAAAACACTTCACTGGACAAGGAAGTGAAGAAGAGTGCGCTAAAAGACAAAAGACCCTTCTACGACACACTGGCAAGTGAAGCAGAATAGGCTACTGGTAGAAGAGACCTGACAACACTATATCAAATAACCAGGTTACTATCTATCCGGGAAGAGATCAACGCAGACGAAACCCATGAGAGACAGTGAAGAAAACCTAGTTACCGAAGAGGAGAAACAAAGGTAACAGTATGGTGACCACTTCAAAAAAAAACTCTTGAATCGACCACCTACACTACCTGCAACTCGTTCAGAAATACCACCAGCAGCCCAGCGACAAAATAACCAGTGAACACAAGCCCTCCGACAAAAGCTGAACTCCATGAAGTTGCTGAAATCTGGAAAAGCAGCAGGACCAGATGGAATTCCGCCAGAAGCACTGAAAACAGACGCGGAGGCAACAGCGGACATGCTTAGACCACTACTGCAGAAGGTTTGCGAGGAAGGAAAGGTAACTGCTGATTGACTGGAAGGGCTATCTTGTCAAACTTCCAAAGAAGGGAGACCTAAGTCTTTGCAAGAACTGGAAAGGAATCATGCTGAAGCCCACCTCAAGGAAAATATTGAGCCGCATCATCCTGGAGAGACTGAAAGATGCACTGGATTCGAAGTTACGACCGGAACAGGCTGGCCGGCTGGCTTCAGGAAGAACAAATCATATGCGGATCAAATCGCAACGCTACGCATCAGCATAGAAGAGAACATAGAATGGCAATCAACTCTCTACCCCAAGTTTATGGACTTTGAAAAGGCCTTCGACAGCGTCGACCAACAAGTAATTTGGCAGCTGTTTCTACACTACGGAATGCCATAAACCTTTATCAATCCCATTCAGCGGCTATATGAAGACGCCACATCCCAAGTGATTCACAATGAAAAGCTCAGCTCAGTGATGGCTTTGAAGTGAAGACAGAATTAAGACGAGACTGCCTACTACCACCGATGATCTTCCTGATTGCGTTCGACTAGACTGAATCATGCACCAAACCGTGAGGAGCGAGGTTATGGGCATACGCTAACTGGACCGATGGCAAGACCTTAGAGGATTTGGATTTTGTAGATGATGATTTATGTCTAGTGTTGCACAAACTCAAAAAAAACCAACAAGTTGACAGAAGAGACAGGATAGCGAAGACAGGACTTCAAGTGAACTTAGAGAAGACAGAGGTGGTGAAAATGCCCAACCAACAACAACAAGCACCAATCACCCTCAACGGAAGAAATCTAAAGGAAGTTGTCTCTTTCACCTACCTACGCAGGCAGCATCATTTCAACTACAGGTGGGGGCACACATGAGGACGCGAAAACCAAGATCGGAAAGACAGCAAGATAGGCCTTGATTATTCTGAAATCAGTGTGGAGACCTACTGCACTGCACTCAGTATAAAGCGTGAACAAGAACTGAATTTTCAACACTAATTCAGTCAAGTGAGTCAGTGCTTCTATGTCATGGTTGAGAGACTTGGAGCGTGACGGAAAGCATTTCCAACAAAGTACAGACATACATCATGAACAACTGCCGCCTACGCTCCTCACTCGATACTAACACTGAAGATCAGACAGATGGTCAGAATAGTAAGAATACACAACAAGGAACTCACTCTGACTGGGTGGAAACGAACCAACCAAGAATCTATCGCCCAACAAATCTGCATAAGAAAGTGTAGATGGATTGGATTGGGCCTACACTGAGAAAACCGTTCTGAGACATCACGCGTGAGGCGAGGCCGACGAGTGGAACCCAAAGGGGAAACGACGAGTTGGGCGTTCGATGCGAGGATGACATGGGTAAAATGGTGTGGGGAAGAAATGAGAGCTTGTGTGCAGTGGTGGAGCCAGGTTGAGAAGACTATAGAGAAGGGAGTGCAATGGAGGTGTGCTAGTGAAGCCTTATATCCCACTAGGAACTCAAGTGAGAAATAATGATAATCCAGGAGGTTAGTTCATCACTCAAGAATGAAGCAGATACTCTTGAACGAATCCCAGGGGTTGCCTCTAAATCAGTTGTAAGTCTTGCACACCTTCCTTACGAAGAGCGATTTGCAAGAGTAAAGCGTTTTCCCTTGCCATAACACAGGAAAACGGGTGATCTAAATTCAGCTCTCTGCATTTTAAATGATGACTTAAGTATTGATTTGTCGTATTTACTTGCTTCGTTACTAGTAATTCATCTTTCAAGGCATCAAGATAGTTTCAAAAGCCGCGGTTGAATCACATTCAAGTGGGGTACCAGTTCTTCCATAGATTGGTTAATAACTGGAAAGCGTTAACAAAAAAAAGTAGCAGCAACTCCTTCAGTGGTCGCATTCAAGAAAAACTGGACTTTCATAGGGTTGATTATTTCAAGGTTATCTTTTACAGTAAGGACTAACTTACTGTTCCCGTCATAGATTATTTGGGGCACCAGGCGGGCAGTTGGTGCTAATGCAAACTTGTAAAGTTTCCAGTGTCTGAACAGTATATCAACAAGAAATTCAACGGACTTTGACGAACCAGAAATCGAAAATAGCTCGATACAATGTGGAGGTCTCTGAACAAATACTGCGTAATGAAACTGACACTTTTTATTACCTGAATAGAATAACTCAACATCATTTTGTCTGCTACACCCAATACGCCTTGCATATCGTCATATGGTGAGCCTTTTAATCAGTTGGAAACTGCTAAATTTCATACTTGAAAGCTCTTTCATAACTCTGTCTATTACTGAAACAAGTGCGCATAGATGAGAAAAATTGAAGTTCTCCGTCTTCGCGAAATTAATAGCTTGGTTCACAACTTCCAGGATAAGCTTTTCATTATTGAGTAAACCAGCATCTGCTAATGCTTGAAGTATTTCTTTCTGATCAATGGTATATAGTGGATTTTCAAATACTAAGTTATCACATACTCCGGACATTTAAATCAGTGTTTTGTGCGTTGTCATTGGTGCAGGGTCACTCGTGATTGTGAATTTAAACAAGCTACACTCCTATTCAAATATAAAAAACTAATAATTTCTTCACTTCTGAAGCCTGTTTCTCCCCACTTAGTCGACAGTTCTAATCTGCTTTTAGCTTCTATGAGGTAAGTGTTTCTTGTGGATTTTTATTTAAAACTTGTGGATGAACTTAGTTAGGAAGCCATAAACTTCTGAAACGACCAAAGGTCTTCTTGTGGCTCATGCCCTTTTAGGTGTCTGAAGGGAATGGGAGAAAAAGGCTAGACAGGTGCATGGGACGAGGCTGCAGGGCAGAAGTTTGATGAGTACAGTTAGCAGTCACCTTTGGAAGTCATTTTGCTGTAGGAAGTCAGTAACTATCCTTTGGGTCCTAGGTCTCTTTTACACGAAAAGGATTTCTTAAAGTTGATTTTTCAGAAGTTTTGTATCTCACTATTCATTGAGTTTGACGTCCGTGGTATTAAAAGGCGTTCTTCTCACGAGAAAGCCTTATTTGTTTCGGGGTAAGAGGAGTCCTGAAAGGACAAATTATTATCTGTTATTATTCACTCCTTGCTGGCTGCGATGCATAATGTATCTTTCACTTCTCATCCAAAAAAGCTTCACAGACAAGAGGTTTTTCGTTGGTCAATCTTCTGGCCATAAATTGATATGAATCAGCGAAGAGTTTGAACACTACCGACACAGTGTTAACGGTTGTACGAAGCCTCAGCTTTCAGGTCAAGAGCATGCGTCATGCATTACATCTTAACTTTCCCCCGTGCATCACCACCGACCCCCCTTTTAAAGTGGCTGAACCAGCTTTATATCTAGTATCTATTGGTGTTGAGCACACTAAAGTCTACTATTCCAACTGGGTGACTTCGAAGTTGTCATACGTGAATCTGTTTGACACTTTGAGAAGAATCCCCGGTTTACCGCTGAATTTCTTCGGTAATCCCGGATGTAAGGTACGAGTTAGTGAGGCTACCACATAACAGCACGGCTGACAGATCTATCCATCAGCGCTAAGTATTAGACTGATACCCACGGTACGATCCTGGCTGTTGCATCCAAATTTAGCAAAGTATCACTTTCTGCTGATTGAATCCATGATGCTGTCTCGTACTTATCCAATCGTTTTCTTTAATTTCTCATGATATTCACCACAATTTTCTCCGTAGTCTCATTCTCCTGAGATCATCAAGTCCCGTGGATTGTCTGCAGACACTGATACATGCACCTCCGTAGGGCCACTGATTTATACTTTCAAAAATTGGGGACTGGTGATGATTAGCATAAGACCCCATTCTAGCTGTAGCGACCAGAATCCAATAATCTCGGCCTGAAGGCGGGAAATGACTAGGCGGTGCCAGCTGACGTGAATCTGACTAGTTCCTGCGTTCTACTGTATAGCTTCCGAACTTCCGCGAGTGACGTACAGTCAAAGGTTCGATCAAAATATCAAAACACGGTTTGTATTAATTCAATAGTAGATTCGTAACAAAATCTGTGGTACTATCAAAGCAACAATAAGCTATATCAAAATTGCGAAAGAACCTCAACAGTGCGGTTGGGTAACTATACAGTCCAAAACGTTCTCGAGTGCAAATACGTACTATACGGTAAAAACTGGTTAAACAAATACAACTGTTAAATACCTGTCGGTCAATAGGAATATTCCCGACGAAAGGGATCAAAACTCTGTCTACCAGAATCAAATCAACAAATAAACGTTTCCAGTGGACAGTCAAGAGACAAGCAGTCAAATTACAGCACAGACGTAAGTTGAACCAAAACAAAATGTCGGGCCCAGTAAAACAACATCACGCTGTCAGCAGTCCAGCGTCACATAATAGGAAAGTGAAACATTCATGATAAGCCCCATTCATACAAAGGCAAATACTGAGTAAAAGGTCAAAGAAGATAGTCAAACAACCAAATAGGATGATTAAGAGGGATTTTCAGATCAATTTTCCATTACACTAGCAAGCCTGTTGGATTAAGTAACAACCGTTGAAGTTGATCTTTCCACGAAACCAGGTTAGGATAAACTGCAGGGCGAAATACCCTAATCGTGCTTCCTTAATGGTGTGGCATACCTTGGCGCTAAACACACCGGTAGTCTGTGTACAGTTCATCACCGTTTGGGTAGTAACTTTTCTAACATCAATTTCTATGCGCCATAAGAAATTTTTTAGTGAAACGAATCTATAGTGCTGTAAAATGTTACGCCTAAGGGGCCTGAGATGCTCGAAGTTGGGCTTCTGCCCTGGTCACATGACCATGTGGACGCTTGCTGATATCCCATATAGAAGGAGTCTCCTCCCCCCCTGGCCAGTAAAGTTACTGGCAGAAGAATTGACGCAGTAGAGACCACAGTGCGGACTTTGCAAACGGCCTAGCTATATTAGCTGTTCGTGATGCCACCGTGAAATTCTGTCGGGCTTTCATGCCACCTATAATCGGTAGAAACGGTGGCAACACTCTGAATTCATGAACAGCAGAAGTGTGGCTGCATATAATATATCCCTGCCGGTTTCATAACTCATAGATAACCCTGATATTATCGTAGACTTCAGCAACTTTATATACTACAAAGGACAATGCAATAATTGTGTTCCTCCATATATTCTTAGCGTCATGCTGCCTACTGATCGGTGTCGCTCGTGTTTACTTCTTTATATGAGAATAAAACTACCTTCCATCTGTTATTGTATTCATTCTACCGCACTACGTACTGATCCAACAGCTGAAGGCATTATGTCTTTAAGCATGCGATACATCTTCGGCCGAATGACAGGTTATCTGTCCCCCCAAAAACTCAGGTAGATAAAACTGTCCCACGCTGTTGAAATTCAACAGCTTCAACTACCCCAGAAAGCTGTCGTCTGGTAAATGTAGCACCATGTCCGCACTCTGCACTAAGGTGAAAACAACGCAAGACTTAGCACCTCGTCAAATTCGCGTTTGCACAGGTGGCTCGAATGCAAATAACTCCTGTTGTGTTGGGCAGTCTGCAACTTAAGCAACAAAACGCTCTGCAGATAAACTGGCTACTGCGCCGAACTCAGCCACAAACAACCACCTTACCTAGTAGAAGTACAGACATTACCTTCGCCGTGAAGATCCAGTCACCTACCCATCCACTTACGAACAATCGCATACGCCACCCCAGCGTTACAGCTTAAATTTGTAGGTATTGCCATGTCCCCAGTAGGAGTTGCGCGGTCCATAGATGTACCGAGCCGTAGTCACAGACACCCCACCTCCACCAGACCACTAAAATACATGGACTAATAGTAGGCTAAAGCACTTCAACGCCAGCCCATATGTGGCATGTGCATTCAAGATGGGTAACCACATACACTACAGATACCACTAGTTAATGTAATGCCAGCGGCACTGGGCACCCACGTAGGCTAAGTGAAACACCGGACAGCCGGTTCAACAGCCTGCCCAATGGATGCAGGGCCAGTACGAAGCCCATGTGACCATCACATGTTTACACAGCCATGCTAAGAAAAGTGTCAGATTTCATTTCCCAACCCATCCCGCGGACAGACCAAATGAATGTCACCCAGCCAACCTATGTTTCTTCACAATCTCGCAATCATTTGCTACGCCGAACCATTACCTGGTCAGTCGACAGCCGTAACCGCTGGGCAGTTAGTTTGGTGTGCACATCTTTACACTGGCTGAATGAACCTCCACCATTAGAGTTACACTCTCGTTGACACTGATTATCCATCGTAAACCGGATTCCAATCCATAACCAGCTGGCTGCTTCACGTTATTGACCTGAGTGCTGCTGTTGTTAACATCATTCAGATGCAATGACCATTTCATCCAAAGGCGCCGTGCCGTTTTTATTGATTTACCAGATTCATTACACAGTGTAACAGCGTTTCTCACTGGATTACATTTCGGACGTAGGCCAGTGAATAATACTGTTACGCTGTGTGATAAAATTAATAAATCAGTAAAGTGGAATAACATTCTACCCCAACGTACGGGTTTCACTCCTATATTAACGAAACTATTGTCCTTAAAGTGGCAGTGCTCAAATGTTGCGTGCGAGGGTTCTATATTGCACCATGCATACTGTTAGGAAGAAATCGACTGTTATTATTATTCCTACTAACAATCAAGTCAAATCAGACTCATACGACGAAAAATTACACACTCCTCCACGTTACTTTCACCTAGGATTATGCTGGATTGTTCTGTCCTGCAAGTTTAAAGGACCTCAAGTCACTGTACGTGACCACTTCACCTACAATCACCCACAAACATTTGGTTTGACCTTCCAGAGCTTATCAGAAAGCCCAAACAGTCGAATAGCCCTTCGTGAAGTGTCATATCATCTGATGCAGTCTCTCCGCTCCCATGGTTTTTCGCGTTTTTATGCTTTTCCGATGCATCACTCGCATAGTGAATCCAGAATACTGACCACATCTACTTGGTTTGTCTAGATGAAGAATGAGGCCGCTCAACTTACCTCGTAACTTATGAGGTTAGACACCACTGGGGGTTGGATACTTCCAGCCTCTTACACTGACCCGTAAACCTTAACATTCATCAATAGCAGTGCCCTCTGATCTCCGCCATCAAAACAGCCTGTGAGCAGTTGCGCACTGCTTCTGCAAAAAACGCAGCTGCTTTCTGCCTACCACTTTCGACCGTGTTATTAGTGAAGTTGAATATGGTTAGCACTTGGATACTTTCCTCAGTGATTCTGTGGCCTGCTGCTCAAGTTGCATCACCTCGGGAAGTGTGATGTAGGTTTAGAACCTGCTTCATACTCCTGCAGTTTGCAGTTAGATGCTTTCAATCGTTCACATACCGTGGGCTTGGCTCGCAGCCATTTTCATTGGGCCTCTGATTCCTGATTATCCACAACAATTTATTGTGTTATTTTCATACTGAGCTTTACCAATAGTAAGTTACTCCGACGCCACGTGTCCTCCAGTACAAATGTGCGTTCCAAAACAAAAATATTGGGCTA